ATATATACATGAGAGGTTTCCATAACAAAAATTACACAGTAACCGAAAACACAACATATATTCTAACAAATAAGGTTTGGCTATACAAAGATCAGATATGCATAACATCTTGTTCTGTCAATTAAGGGGGGAAAGGTTGCAATAGAAATCCATGTCTCATAAAGCACAAAGATCCCACTGCACACAGTAATGGAGCAGTCCTGGTTCATTTCATCAACTTTCAGCACTTGAACCCTCTACATGTTATCAGCCACACGATAAGGACAAAGACCAGCACAGCGATGGTGACCATGATTTTCAGTCTCAGGTTCTGCAGCCACATCTTCCTCCGAAGTTGCCGGCCTTGTCTCTGGAAATTATCAGCCTAAACACAAGTTTCCAAAAATCACCCTCTTCATTAGAGAATTGATGTCCAACTACTTATTGCCTCTCTCTCTCTCACACACGCACACACACACCCCTACTATACATCCTCCTACTAACATTACATTATCTTACACACACACGTACTAGACATCCTCCTCCTACTAACATTAATTATCTTACACCATAACCCAATGAATGGGGGATAAAATGCAACTCTTGACTATACCTGGAATTGTAAGCCTTCTGTTTTATCCACCAGAAGTTCGATTCTCTCCCCACGATCCAAAACCTGCCAATGTAAAAGAAACTGGTCATCAACAGATACTACAAATGGAAATCTAAAACATGAAACCCAGAACATGTGAGAACTCAATTACATGTTCTGTAACCATGTGAGTTCCCATGTTCTCTATTGCATCTCCTTTTTTCCTATGTTGCGTAAACACAAGTATGTGTGCCAATGTTTGACATGGTACGGGGTGTTTAATTCCTCACAATGAAGAAGAAGATTCGGCGACACAGCTATAGTAGGAAGAGAACCAAATCTCACAATGTTTTACTAATACTCCATTTCATGACTAGGAGCAAGAGATAATTAATTACACCTTATTTGTTTAAATTTGTAGATATTATGGAAATTCATGGAGATTTTCATGGCTAACATGTCCACTCAAAATGTCTCTAAGATTAAGCAATAAATGATTGATAAATAAAATTGAGAATCTAAAATAATCTGCATTGTTACACGAGTTGATAAGTGCACACGGTGTCAGATTTCCTCATGCCATGAAGAAGAGGATTCAGAGGCATGGCTATATTATGAAGAAACAGCCAAATTCAACAATGTTTTACTAGTATTCCACTCCGTGACAAGTAGCAAGAGACAAATAATTACACCTCGTTGGCTAATTCATTTGAAAGTTTCATGGACAATTTACAAAGCTCACATGTCTACTCAAAACAAAGGAGAAGATCATCTCTAAAATGATGTAATCAATAGCCAACTACAAGAAAAAGAATCCAAAAAAATCTACATTGACACATGCGTAACATGGGTATGATACCCAAATGGACAAAGCCTTGTAAAGCAATTGTCTTCTCATGTCTAGTTCCAGTAACTTCTCTTTTACTCCGAACCATCATTACAAACAAGAAAGGAAGTACCCATAAATAGCATTGGCCTGGAAGAATCACTAGATGCCACTCTCGTACACTCAAAAATCAATTTGTTTGACAAAATCCAAGTAATATATATATAGTTAATGACATATTCCATAGTAAATGCCCTCTTGAATAAATAGAACGAACAAGCAGAAACAGGACCGTTGCAATCATCATTGCCTTGGCATCACAACTCCAAAAAGATGCCAGAAGGCGATCTTCAAGCCCTAACTGTCTTTTCAGGCTGAAATCAAAGGTCCATAGAACCAAGAAGGCAAATAACTTCCTCAATTTCAGTCTAAAACAAACATTCAGAAAAACACTTGCCATATCAAGATCTCAATTTTAATTAGACCTCTATACCCATCATGAAGTATGGTTAGCTATTAAAAAAATGAAAAAAAAAGTCCAAGCCCCGCAAGTCCAAAAACATGGGCCTAAAAAGTGATGTAATCAAGGTCTTTATTCTTTATTTGTATTATTTCTTTTAGGATATTGAAAGTAGGTTTGAGATTATTTGGGCTTCTAGTTTTCGTTCAAGATATTTGTATTTTTTTTGTTATAGAAAATAAGGGGGAGAATTGAATTTTTAATTTCTAAAAGATGAAGGGTTATGATTTATTGTGATTAAGGCTTCTTAAGGAGCGAGATAGGTTTTAGGGTTGGACATGAAAGGAGATAAGATGATGAATTTATTTTTAGTTTTTTAAAATATCTTGGGGTGGATTTTGAGCCTTTTAAAATAGGGATGATGAATTTATTTTGAGCCTTTAGGGGTATATTCCCTTAAAGACCTAGAGAAAAGTTCAAACTCCTGAAACCTTTATGACAGACTCCCTTGTAGACCTAGAGAGATGGTCAAATTCTTTCACCCTTATTTTTGTATTTTTGCTTTTCTGGTTTAACGACTGGCCTTCACTTTCTATTTTTTTTATTCTTTCCCCCTGCAACAATTGGTATCAAAGGTTCAAAAGATCCATCCATCACAATGTCGCAAAAACCCACTTACACTTGAGGATATCATAGAGGCCGTGAATCAGATTATTAAGCCACGAAGATATTCAAGTTGAGCTAAGTAAAATTTGAGGAGAGATTAATAAATTTCGAAGAGATTGGTAAAATAAATCAACGGATGCGAAATTAAAGAATACATGTTGCCAAGAAGAACATGCTCCTATTCCAATAATTTTGGCACCAAACCTCAACCATGGAGATCAAATGGAGAACCTCTAAACCTTTGAGCTTGAAGGAGAAATCAAGATTATATGTGGTATCCTAAAGTTCAATTACAAGTTGCACAATTAAGTATTTGATTAGTTGACTTACTGAAGTGGAAAAAGTACCTTAGCAAATGGTGGGCATCCATTACCAAGTCTTGAGAAGGCGAGTAAAGGATATGATGAATTCAATGAACTCAACTTCGAGCTTCTTTCAACCTTGGGGGAATGATAAAACTAGGGTTTCCATTTTTTTCTTTAGGAGATTGAGATTAGGTTGGGGATTATTTGGGCATCGAGTTTTCTTTTGGTATTTGTGTCTTCTTTTATTTTAGAGAATTGAGGAGTAGGATTTTAGAAGTTTAGTGGGTTAAGTAAGAAAGAGATAGAGAAGAATAGAATTTAAGGAAAATTTCGTACAGACCCCTAATTCCCTATCTTATTTCATGACCCTCCTATTTTTCTTTCAAGCAGCATAAAAAGACCCTCAAGTATTTCACCGTACTCCCTCATCTCTTCTCTCCCACATTTATTCACTTTTGGCCACAAAAACTAGCCCCAATAAATTTTTTTGTTCCATCTCAATACAAAAAGCCTTCCAAAAAAGAAGAATTTGATTGTGTTTAAATTGTGTGCGCACATGAGAGTGAGAGTGAGAGTTTACACAATATAAAAGGAAGTATAAAAACTCCACATAAATTTATAAAGTGTAAAATAGGGTTAAAAAGGCTTTTGAATTGAGATGGAATAAAACAATTTGTTGGGGCTAGTTTTTGTGGCCAAAAGTGAATAAACGTGGGAGAGAAGAGATGAGGAGGTACGGTGAAAATACTTGAGGGTTTTTTAATGCAGCTTGAAAGAAAAATAAAAGGCGGTTCTATTGTGAAATAAGATGGGGAATTAGGGGTCTGTATGAAATTTTCCCTAGAGAGGAAGTCGAACCTCTAAACCTTTGGGATAGTGTCCTCTATGGGCCCAAAGAAGATATAAACGCTCAACCCTTATGTTTATTTTTTATCTCCATCTTCCCTTGCAACTCGTAAGTCCATGACCTACATCCTTAAATCTAACTCCATGACTGAACTCAGGACATATATAACAAATTCCCCTCTAAGCCTGAGGTACTCTTACACACCTATCCAAAAACTTAGTACACCTAACTATCACTGCATTCACATCATCATCATCATCATCTGAGCCTTATCTCAACTATTTGAGGTCGACTACATGAAACGTGTTGCGCCATTCTACTCTACCAAGGGCCATACCCTCAGCTAGACTACAAATCACCATATCTCTTCACTACTACCATCCATGTCTTTAGACTATATCAAGGGCAATACCCTCAGACTACAAAACCCACCCATTCATCCTCAAAGGCATTGTTTGCTCTATGGTAGCCATCAAGGACATGACTCTATCAAAGGCCAAATGTAGACCGACTTTGAGCAGTAAATTTCATTCCCAACATCCAAGGCTTTAGAGGCATATTTGAGACTCGAATATTCAAGAAAACTGACAAGTGGGTTTTAAAAATCATAGGGCTTATGCTGCCATTTCCAAAAATGGAGTAATAATAGCTATTTTGAAATTGGAGTGAAAGTTATGCCTATAAGAAGTTGGGGTATCTTTTTGGGGTTAGTTTTTAAGACAAGTTCATCTTATTTTATTTTTTCAATGGAAAAAGTCAATTTCATGGTCAATTTTAATCAAGAGTCCTAATCACATTAGAATTAAGAATCAGGTCAAGACTCCAGACATAGGGGTTTGAATTAAGATTTATATTCAGAGTTGATTATTGCTATTTCAGCACAATGTCCTAAGGAATTCTATTGAATTCACAACGCCATTAAAGCTATGCTTGTTAGCTTCCATTAATTTTCAGTTCATTTATTACTTTCTTGATGTCTTGTCTACTACTGGAATTTGCACAATCTAGTATCAAAGTGAGCTCATCTCCCAAAGCACCCTAGAACCACCACAAGTTGCACAGAGGCTGCCAGAGGAGGTCAAGTTGGTCAAGGTCAAGGGGCGGTATGCGACGCAGAAAGATATTAGTGAAATAATGATGACATTTAGGGAATTAACACACAACGTGCTCCAAAGCCAATCCAAGAGACTCAACAAGCCAATGAATGAGGTGAGGTGCATCAAAATTGACCTTATTGAGGTTTGGTCACCAATGAAAATGACCAGTTCGAGCCCGAGTTCAGGAATAACTCATTAAACAACTAGGGTGGGGAGATACAAATCTATTTCTTTTGAAATCCGTTTGATACGAGCTCTCAAAGGTACAGAGAAAGGTATTAGGGTTGATGTGTATGAATTTACCATGTGAAATGCATGGTCCAGGGCAAGGTGTGCACAATCATTATTGACAGGCAGAAGTTATAGAAACATAATGCCACAAAAGTTAGTGGATAAGTTCAAATTGAAGTGCAAGAAACATCATCAACAGTATAAAATCTCATGGTTCAAACGAGGCAACAAAACCCATGTTAATTCTTGTTATTTGGTTACTTTTGACATTGGCTGTAGGGAAAACCTACGAGGAGTCTGTATAGTATGACGTGTTGCCTACGGGTACATGTAATATCCTATTGGGTTGCCCATGGCAGTTTGCCCATTTTGCAATACACTATGGGAAACACAATACCCACTCTTTTGGAAGGAGGGGATCAGATTTACCTTGCAACTATCAAAGGAGGATAATCAGCACGAAACCAGGATGGGGGAGGGAGATACGCTCTTTGAGTTGGTTACTAGAGGAAAACAAGGAGAAAGGGTTCATGTATGCATTGGTACCTAGAGAGGAATCTTGTTTTAACTTCAATTCCAACCCCCATTATACCCTTGATTAAGGAGTTATGAATGTTATGTCTGGACATGCATGGAAGTAGTGAGAAAAGAT